ACTGTCTCTCCCTAGCTACCAAGGAGTGTGGGCCCCGCCTTTTGGGCGCCAATTCTGACCAAGGTGATAGGCTAGCTCAAATATCTACTATATGGTAAATTATGATTCAATTGGTCACTTGCATGTGACCTAGCATGACTATGCAGCTTTCTCTGTGTGTTGCAATCGAATTGCACACACACCTGTGTGTGGTCAGGCTCAACCACATAGCCCTTGCCCTTTAAAAGTTAGTCGGTAAGGCAGGGAGGGGTCGCCCTCTCTGTAAGAGGGGGGCCTGACCGGTCCGTTTGATTCTCGATGCTTGGCGTGAAATAAAGCTTTGCTTGACCTTCGCTTTGTATCAGTCTCGCTCCTTTGATTACAGACCCATCAATGGTGTACTATATGTTGGCTAGTTGGATTTAATTTTTTTTTTATTTTTTACTTAAAAAGAAAGAAAACTAGAGTGCCTGGCTGGCTCAGTCATTAAGCGACTGCCTTCGGCTCAGGTCATGATCTCAGGGCCCTGGGATGGAGTCCCACATCCGGCTCCCAGCTCAGCGAGAAGCCTGCCTCTCCCTCTCCCACTCCCCCTGCTTATGTTCCCTCTCTTGCTGTGTCTCTCTCTGTCAAATAAATAAAATCCTTTTTAAAATTAAAAAAAAAAAAGAAAGAAAACTTGGTTATTCAAGAACATCACCTACAGAAGGAGGCAAGCCCAGAGAGCTCCAGCTTGCTTCAGGAAAATACAGCCCATGCTGCAAAGGATGTACCATGTGCCTGCTCCGTGACACTGCTGTGTCAGTCGGATGCAAGATGGCACAAGCCCAGACCATCAGCTGTCCCTCTCCACAGCAGTTCTCACAACAGACATCAACAGGTGCAGAAGTTTACAGCCGCCATAAAACCTACATGGCAACTGAAGGGTTAAAACCACTCTCTGTCACGTGCTCGGTCAAGAAACCCACAGCTATCACTCAGAGAAAGTTGTTAAGAAACATCCAGGCAGCTCAAAGTTCAAAGAATAAAAGACTGTACAAAGCAGAACATGACTGGAGTCTGGTACATCTGCTTCCTCTATAGCAGGTTTAAGGGGATTTAGAGGAAAAGATAAGTAGCCCCCATGAGGACCTGGTCACCACTTACCCACCTAATGGTTACATGGCAGCACAAGAGATAACACAAAGGGACAAAATCAGTATTTCTTAAGGACCGACCCTGTGGTATTTTTCATCTCACAACATGTTTAATTCTCCAAAAGCCCTGTTTCACCTCATTCTTTGTATTTCACTGAAGTCGTAACTAAGGCTGAGAAGTTAAGGGACTTTTCTAAGGTCAGATAGCTCGTTAAGTGGCAGAAGCAGGATTCAAGCCTCCCCATAGAACTGCAAAGCCAGCTGTATGCCTTGAACGTCAAAGTGAACGATAGCACAGATGATCAATGTTTCAGGAACACGGAGAAGGGATGATCCCTCGGCCTTACCGTAGCTAAGGAACAACACCGTCATCAAATGCCAGTGCTTTTTTATCAGGCGCAACCCTTTCCTACGCACTAACTGTGAATCTTAAAGAAGACTGTCCAACCTCTGCTTTATCATCTTCAGCAATGGGGAAATCACCTAACTACCCTCCCACACATTCATGTTGTAACAACAGATTAGTAGTAAAATCTTCCTTATACAGAGTCAGTATCTTCTTCAGACATGTAGAATCAGATATGGAGGCCATGTAGACAGAAACAATGGTGAACTACACAGCAGGATTGTTCCACAAAGGCCTCACAGCCCATGGGCGTGGCCCAGACCCTGTGGGCAGCACCAGACATCTGAACCATAACTAATTTTTCCCCCAAAACCAGACCCCTCAGCCACTCACCCTCACTAGAAAAACTAATTCCACATGGTGCCTGCTCCCTTGGGTAACACCTTTCTAAATCAAACTGTACACCTACCTATCTGATTGGCAGAATCTCGGCAGAGCCTAGATGCAAGAGAATCTGAGAAAGGAAGTTCACAGATGCCACCTTAGGAAAGCAAGAATCTCAGTTGGGAATTTCCCTAATATAGGACATTCCCCTATGTCCACTACAGTCCATCACTCAGCTGCCCAAAGTGAACACACACTCCTTCTCCACAGGTGACTTTCCTAAAACAAAACTGCCCTCATTGAAAGTAATCTTCACTATCTCTTGTACAAAGGAAAATGAGGTTCTACTGTCCCCAGAACTGAAATAAGCCCGTCTCCGCACTTACTGCTTTTAGCTCCAAGGAGAGGATCTCCAGGTGATACCCATTCGAGCTCTAATTTACTCAGACCCCCAAACTGTGGACTCAGCTGAAGGTTAACCACCAACAGCATCCTATATACAAAATAACAGAAGGAAGGCAGAAAGCAGAGAAAAAGGAAATCGGTTCAAATACGCAAATACACACATGACAGAGCAAGGAGGAAACTATGGACAGAGTACCCTCTTTCGTTCTGAAATTGGCCCCTGACTGGAGCAGTACCTATTTCATTCCTTGCCACCACTACAGGTGAAACAAAATTGAATGTTGGTAAACCTGAGCCTTAATGATGCTGTGGGACGATCCCCCTAGCCCTGGACTACCTACCTCTCAACTTCTCGTTACATGAGTGAAAACTAGAAATGCTTCATTTGTTTATTCCTCTGATTTGGGGTGCAACGGGAGCAAGCCCACAGTACAGGACTTCTCCAGGTCCAGATTCTCCTCTGTTCTGCTGATGGTAGAAGGCTCAGAGGAAAGTTGCCATTTTTAGCAAATAAATGTAGGACTCCCAGATAAATTTGAATTTCAGATAGGCAATTTATTTCACTATGTCTCATTTAACTCTGAAGCATACTTATACTAAAAAAAAAAAAAAAAGATTTGTTGTTCATCTGAAATGCAAATTTAACTGGGCATTCTGTATTTTTTTAATATTTATTTATTTATCTGAGAGAGCGAGCTCGTGAGCAGGGGGAAGGGCAGGGAGAGAGGGAGAATCCTCAAGCAGACTCCCCACTGAGCACAGAGCCTGATTCGAGGCTAAATCCCAGGCCCCCAAAAGCATGACCCAAGCCAAAAACAAGACTCCACCCCTCAACCGACTGAGCCACCCAGGCACCCCTGGGCATTCCATATTTTATCTGTCAGACAAAGAAAAATGAGTACAGGGACTCATCAGACATTACAAATATGTGTAAATATAATTATTCCAGAAAGGGTGAGAGTTTAGGACAACTGAGGACCTAACAATACTAAGGAACAGATCACTCCAGTCACAAGCCCAAGCTGAGACCAAGGGTACAGTAGAATGATTTGGGGAAGGTGTTTTTTTCCCTGCGCTTCCCCATCTCTGAATTAAATGGTTTCTAAATCTCCAAGAGAGGGGTACCGGGTGGCTCAGTTGGTTAAGCATCTGCCTTTGGCTCTGGTCATGATCCCAGCATCCTTGGATCAAGTCCCACGTCAGGCTTCCTTAGCTCAGCAGGGAGTCTGCTCCTCCTTCATCTGTGGCTCTCCCTGATTGTGCGCTCGCGCTCTCTCTCTCTGTCAAATAAATAAATAAAATCTTTAAATGAATAAATAAACCTCCAAGAGAAATGACACTCTACCTGTTACCAATCTCTTCCCTGGACCCCCTGCTCCCCCAAGTCTGGGGAAAACAACAGATATGAAGCTTGAAACCCAGTCATAATAGTTATGAGTTCTATGATCATATTCATGTTCATGTGTCTGAGCCTCAATCCTACATTCGTAAAATGACAGTAATGGTACTTTCTGAGTTTGTTGTGGAGTAAAACCTCTGGTACCAACATCTGTGTACATTCTACTTCAGCAAAATAAGTTTGAATGTGAGAGTAGGAACACCAGGCTCCCAGAACAAACCGCTCTTCTCCATCTACATCCCCATTAGTGGGGCTCTATTTCTCTGTTTTTCTGTGGTGGTAGAGCAGAGAAGGCCCTTGATTTGGAATCAGGAAAATCTATTTCTGAACCATAGGCCTCAACAGCCAATCTATAAAACTGAGCTAAGAATACTTACTTCACAGGGTCATTATGCAAATGTATCCAAGAGCTGGGACACTAAATGATCCATAGGCTCTCAAAAAAATGCAAATTCTGGGTACCTGGATGGCTCAGTGAGTTAAAGCCTCTGCCTTTGGCTCAGGTCATGATCTCGGGGTCCTGGGATGGAGCCCCATGTTGGGCTCTCTGCTCCGTGGGGAGCCTGCTTCCCCCGCTCTCTCTGCCTGCCTCTCTGCCTACTTGTGATCTCTGTCAAAGAAATAAATAAAATCTTTAAAAAAAAAATCTGAATTCCAATCCTATTTGCTATTGTGATAATATATGTAAAGTCCTACGGTAGAGTCTGTTCCCTTCCCACATCTACTCTCCATGGATCTTCTGCCAATGAACATTTGGTTCAAAGGAAGTGAGAGATCCAGTGAAGTGGTTTTCAAATTGCAGGTAATCATCCATTAAGTGGGGTGCTGTTCATATTTTAATATGGAGTGGAACAGGGTGGAATCGAAAATGAAAGCACTGCACATGACAAGGATAACTATTGTTTCCCGAAATTTCTAATTTGTATGTGTATATTTGTGCTCATGTACTCACGCACATGTATATGTGCATTGGGTCCTTCTGCAAAATGCATTTCCTACTATGGGCCATAAAAGTGCATATGTTTCTGGATGCTCCACATAAGGACTCTCCCCACCCATGTTTCTGAAGACCCTTTAACTGCCCTACCTGGGAAAGACATGATCCCTCCAGCCCTGCTCCCCAGATAAGGCACCGTGGTTGAAAGCTCATCCTGGAAACCAGAACTTGGGGGTCAGGCCTCCACTTCACCTCCAGCAAAACAGAGGGTAACTTGGAGGGAACTTCTGATCTTAGGATGGGAGAAGAAACCATGACACCGCAGTTCCTGTGGTTACCAGCCCAGCCCTTTGCTCACTGCTGGAGTTATAAAACCCAAGACCAGAAAACAGAAGCAGCATCTGCGTGGGGCACCCTCTCTGAAAAGATGCATTTTCTTCCCCTCCCGCTGCTGCTCCTTCTATGCTGCAGAGCTGAAGCTGGTGAGTCTTGGGGTTCTTCCCTCTGGAAGCGGCAGGATCAGCCCCCAAAACAAAGTTTAGTCTGAAGATAGCTGACTCTTAAACAAGGTTGCAGGATCTCACAGCAGGAGTCCGGACCGAAGTTCCACTTGGGGTATGCCCAGCCTGGAGTAGTTCCCAGGGACAAGGAACCCCATTGGCCAGGGAAAGCCCGCAACAGGTGGGAGGAAGAGGGGCATCTCCTCATGCTAGAATGTGAGATACTGTACAGAAGGTCCTATGTTCTTTTTATCCTCTGACTACATTTTACCTTGTAATGTGGCCATTCTGTGATGCTGCTCATGACCTACGGAGAGAAGGTCAAGGAACCTGGAGAGCTGCCCTGCACAGGGACGGAGGAGCATTAAGGCACAGGCAGCATGGGAGCGGGGGAAATCTGAGGTGAAAAATGCCTGAATGGCATCTGCGGCCAGATTGGCTGTTATACCTGCAAGAAGGAATGAGAATTTATATGGGAGGCTGTGGATGGGGAGACCAGATACCAGTGGGGTTCCTGAGGGGGACGACGGGCAGGGTACAGGGTGAGGAGGAGATTCAAGAGAAGCCTTTCCCAACTTCCACCCAGCCTATGCATTCTCTGTGTTCAGGCCCTGGGGGCTCTCTGTTCCAGGGGAGATCATCGGGGGCACAGAATGCAAGCCACACTCCCGCCCTTACATGGCCTTCCTGAAAATCACCACTCCCCAGAATCGCCTGATGTCCTGTGGTGGTTTCCTGATAAGACGGAACTTCGTGCTGACAGCCGCTCACTGTGCAGGAAGGTGACACAACAGGGTTCTGTTTATCTCCAGAGGGAGATAAACAGCCAGGGTAACAGCCAGGGATGCACACTTGGGCAGCCTGAGGAGGGGGTCCCTGGACTGGGAGAGGCAAGACTCAAATTTAAGGAAACTGTTCCCATGATTGATGGATGCCCTGATCTTTGATCACTGTGAGCTCAGCAACCCTACAAAGGAAAAAGGAGGCTCTAGCCAAGTGTCCTTCCTCCAAAAGTAGTTCCCATCTCCCTGACCCCAACAAATGAGATATGTGACCTTCAGGGGCCCACCCAGTTTTCCAAGCCACTTTCTCCCTGCCCTTTCCAAGAACACTGGCCTTTAGTTGTCAGGGACTTGACCCATCTTTTCCAAGGGATACCGAGAACAAGACCTACCAGGGACTCCACCACCTCCCTCTTTCCTCTGGCATCTCTTGCTCCGGAGGACTGGCTCTCATAAAGGGCTCCCTGAACTAGCAAGTGCTAACCCTGTCCCTTGGATCCTCCATGGCCAGCTCAGTCCCCAGCAATTCCTGAAGGTCCTGGAAATTGTCCCTGTTCCCTGAGTGAAGTCTGAGCCCCCCAAATGCCACAAGTGGCCCAGGAAAAGGGGGGGTGGGTAGAGTCCAATAACTGTGATAGACTTCAATTCCCTTTCCTCAGAGTGGGCACATCCCAGGAGAAACTGGAGACCATCACTGTCTCTTCTTGTCCTTTTTTCTCCCTCACCACAGTTCCATAATGGTCATCCTTGGAGCCCATAACATACGAAAGAAAGAAGACACATGGCAGGAGCTTAACGTCATAAAACAATTCCCTCACCCAAAATACGATGACCTTACTATTCGCCATGACATCATGCTACTGAAGGTGATAATTTCTTTCTCCCCTGTCTCCACTTCCTGTTCTCTTAGTTTTCTCCTTCAGGTACCCATTGCCCTGAGATATCCCCAGCCTGCCTCTGGACTCCAACCCCACCAAGTCACCCCCACTGGGTGTAGTTCTAATGGGAAACAATTTGCCCTGTCCTCCCCTGATTTCCTCCAACTACCCCATCACCCCTTTCTAGCACTGACAACCCCTCGTGCCCTTCACAGTTGAAGGAGAAAGCCAACCTGACCCTGGCCGTGGGGACGCTCCCCCTTACGCCCCTGTTCAACTCCATCCTACCCAGGAGAATGTGCCGGGTGGCTGGCTGGGGCAGAAGACAAGTGAACGGAACAGGCTCCGACACTCTGCAGGAGGTGAAGCAGAGGCTTATGGATCCCCAGGCCTGCAGACAGTACAGAGATTTTGACCACAACCTCCAGCTCTGTGTTGGCAATCCCAGGAAGACAAAAACTGCATTTAAGGTAACCATCTGACATGGGTTCTTTCCCACAGATCACTGTTTGGGGTCCAGAACGTCTCCTGGAAGGAGATGGGGTGGGAAGACTGTCAGCCAGTGACAGGGTCTCAGATCATATGGGCCTAAGGAACTGGAATTGCTCCTCTGCAGATCTACCCCCCACCCTGCCATGCAGGCTCTGACCATCCGTCCCAGGCTGCTGCACAGCACACATGGGGTGGCAAGAAGGAAAAGGAAAAGAGCCATCAAACCAAGATGTATAATCCCATGAGGAGCCAGGGTTGCTGGGTCTGACCGGAGGTCTCACTGTTACTCAGGACTGGGACCCACAGGCAGGAATGGATGAATTCCCTGCTCACCTTCTGTGTGCTCTCTCTCCCCCACCCCTCTGTCCCACAGGGAGATTCAGGGGGCCCTCTTCTCTGTGCTGGGGTGGCCCAGGGCATTGTGTCCTATGGACAGTTGGATGCAAAGCCCCCTGCTGTCTTCACCCGAATCTCCTACTACCGGCCCTGGATCAATGAGGTCCTGAAGCAGAATTAAGCCTGGAGGGAGCCCGAGCCAGCCCAAGGGGAAATCTGGAACCAGACCTGAGCAGGCTCTCTGTACCACCTACTCCAGAGCTGCCTCTGGTCTCTGCTGAGACCCCACCACATCCCTCAGACCCGAAAAGGATCCTCCAGGTCACAGAGTCCTCAGTAAACCTCAATAAAGACCCAGCTTCATGACATATGTATGTCTCCTCTCTCTGGCGCTCCTTCTCCCGACACAGAGCAACCAGCCCCCAGCATGGGCAGCCTACAAGCTTTGGAAGGAATGGGGTGTGGGAGGGGGGCATAAGTGTGAGAGAGACAGGGAAGAAATAATGAAGAAAAATTAGGGAAAGAAAGAAGAGAGAGATAATCCCTGGAGAGGCAGGATCGGTATTTCCGACTTAAACAAGAAGTTGCACCAGATCCTTGCTGTAATCATCAACTCTACACCAACTCAGATTTACCTCTAGGTATTCGGAATCACTAAGAACAGTGTGAATCACAAGCAAAAATGTCAGATGTTTAGAGTATCCCTGACCTCTCCCCACTAGTTACCAAGAGTAGCACCCCTCCCCACTAAGTTAGCCAACCAGAAGTTTCTCAGGGCATTTCCCAGTGGTCCCCAAGGGGGCAGGGGAGCGGGAATGATCCTCAGTGAGAACCGCTGGCTTAAATATGTGATCTAGGGAAGGCAGTTGGTGCCACATAAGGCTCTCCTATAGTCCACCTCGATAATATCTACCATCTGTGGAGCTTCAATGTGAGATGGAAAGAAGATTGTCTCTCACTCCGTGCTGCAAAACAGAGAGCTAGAACAGATAAGAGGAGGGATAGCTTCTCAAGTTCTGCATGGGCAACACCCAGCCACAAGGGCTGCACCCAAACCGGTAGGAAGTCAAAAGCCTAGTGTCTACCCAACACAAGGTCTTGCCCGTTGAGGGACTGGCTGGGGGACAGAAGCCAGGGCAGGAGGATGGGGAGTACAAGGGGAGCCTCAGACTGATAGCTCTCCTAGCTTCTGAGGGTATAATGAGTCCCTGCAACTCTTTCTAGCAATTGTCTTTAAGACATTATTAGAGATAATGTCTTACACAAAGATTCATGGATAAAGATTTTAATCTCCGCAACGTTAATAATGGAAAAATTGGAGGGGCACCTGGGTGGCTCAGTGGGTTGAGCCTCTGCCTTCGGCTCAGGTCATGATCCCAGTGTCCTAGGATGGAGCCCCGAATCTGGCACTCTGCTCAGCGGGGAGCCTGCTTCCCCCTCTCTCTCTCTGCCTGCCTCTCTGCCTACTTGTGATCTCTGTCAAATAAATAAATAAAATCTTTTTAAAAAATTGGAATCCTAGCCACAGAACAAAGTTTAGATGGTAAATTCCTATGAATGAATATTTCAAATTCATTAAAAATTTGTTTTCAAAAACATTCAATCACGTGGGAAAATTCGAAATGTGAGTGCAATACAGGATTGTTGTTCCTGGGAAGACCTGGGACTTCTCCTCTCACTGTAAACTATCCCTTGACTGAACAAACATCCCTCCACCAGGCCATAAGAGATTTAGAAGCTAACAGATATCTGCCCAGATTATGCAATTTGTGACTGGGGCCATTATTTACTGAGTCTATATTTTGTTTGTTTGTCTGTTTATTTAAGATTATTTATTAGAGAGAGAGAGAAAATGAGTAGGGGAGAGGCAGAGGGAGAGGGAGAGAGAGAACCTCAAGCAGACTCTCGGCTGAGTGTGGACCCAATGTAGGACTCGATCTCAGGACTCTGATATCATGACCTGAGCCCAAACCAAGAGTGACATGTTTAACTGGCTGAGCCACCCAGGGGCCCCTACTGAGTCTATGTTTTTGATTAAATGATGAAACATTTCTGTCCTTACTCAAACTTAAGAGTACTTTCAACTTACCTGGATATTTGAAGTATTTGAAATTTTGTGTTTTTGTTTCTGTCACTTGGCTTTAGGGCTATGAAACACCATGGCTCCCCAGAAGAGGAGTTGGGTGCACTACTTCAAGTTCATGTCCTCATCAATTAGGAAAAGATTGCATTATTGGGCGGGGGTAGCCAGGAAACTGAGATCTTTGCTAATTTTCATGATGGTTTTCCTGATGACAATCTTCTCTGATTTTCATCTCACACATGACCTTATCTGCATTGGGCTTGCAGGCTCTGAAAATGCAGCATGACCAACTGCAAGTTTTCCATCGTCAGCCCCACCTCTGGGCCGTGAAACAGTCATATCAATGTGTTCTTTGGGCCTTTATCTCAAAGGGTCTGTCTGTCAGGTCCCAGCAGGGACAGAGGGCATAATTTAGAAAAAGTCCAATGGAGGATCTATGTGCAAAGGAAACAGGAAACCAATAGGTGGTGGTCATGTACCCCAGAACTGGCAACAGTATGAAGCCACCACTGTCCCTTTGGCATGAAGAGGGCTGGGTAAGGAGTGGTTACAGAAACACAGAAGGAGGGCTGAAGCTCTGCCTCCACTAGCTCGAGCTGTAGCAGCAGGATGGGAGCTGTGGGACCATGGGTCCATGGAAGGACCCTAACAGACACTGAGTATCTGATCTTGGGACATCAAGTGACTGTGATCACACCGACTGAATTAAAAGCCCTAGTTCCAGGGTACAGGGGTGGCTCAGTGGGTTAAGCCTCTGCCTTCAACTCAGGTCATGATCCCAGAGTCCTGGGATGGAGCCCAGAATCGGGCTCTCTGCTCAGCGGGGAGCCTGCTTCCCTCCCCCCCACCCACCTGCTACTCTGCCTAATTGTGATCTCTCTTTCTCTCTCTCTCTGTCAAATAAATAAATAAAATCTTTAAAAAAAAAAATCCTGGTTCCCAGGCATAGCCTGGGAGATTTGCTTCCACCAGAACTGAGGATATCTTAAAAGTTCCACAAAATCTAAAGTTATGGCTGCCAGCTGTCATGTCAAGTCTGTCTTATTGGGAGCAAATCTGTAGGCAACAATGAACTTACCCCACTGGCATGGATAACTCACCCTTATTATTATACCAAGATAGAGGTGTTGCCACATAATAAGGGCAGGGAGAAGTGTGAGGCACACCTTGGGGCTTCTGTCCAGTAACAACTAAAACATGTAGCTATAGCAACCCTAACCCCCCCCCCCAAAAAAACCCAGGAACCGCAGAGATAAAGGTCTGGGTTACCCTAGTGGGTAAACAATTTAAACCAACAGAAGAATTTGCCAAGGAGTAGACCAGGAAGGGAATGGGGGATAGATGCCAGGGGAGAGAGACAACTACTCATGGTAGCCCTAGGACCAGCTGCCACTGGACGACTGTAGCCTATCCTTACAATCCTTACAAAGAGACGAACATTTAAGTCAGTAGACTTTGCGAGGCACCTGGGTGGTTTAGTGGGTTAAGCGTTGGACTCCTGGTTTCCACTCAGGTCATGGGATCAAGCCCTGCCTTGGGCTCCCTGCTCAGCACAGAGTCTATTTGTCCTGTTCCTCCCCCTGTTCCTGCTCTCTCTCTCTCTCTCTCTCAACTAAATAAATAAAAGCTTTTTTAAAAAATCTTTTAAATCAGTAGATTTTAAGTAAGCCTCCATAATGCAGGGGGCTTCGTCCCATCAGGTGAAGGCCTTGAGAGCAAAGACAGGTTCCCTACAAAGGAATTCTCAAGACTGTGACAGAGAAAACCTGTCTGTTTCTAGACGGCTGCCCTGAGGAATTCAGATTCAAGACTGCAACTTCAACTCTTATCTGAGCTTCCAGCTTGCTAGCATGGCCTACAGATTTCAAACTTGTCAGCTCCCACGGTGGTGTGAGCCAATTCTTTAAAATAATATCTTTTATATGGGGTGCCTGGGTAATACAGTCAGTTTAGCAGCGGACTCTTTTTCCACTCAGGTCATGATCTAGGAGTCATGGGGTCGAGCCCCGCATCTTTCTCCACACTCAGTGCAGAGTCTGCTTGGGATTCTCTGTCTCCCTCTCCCTCTGCCCCTCCTGCTTGCTCTCTTTCTCTCTCTATCTCTCTCAAATAAATACAATCTTTTAAAAAATAATTATATCTCTTACAGATAGATAGGTAGACACCCAAAAATATTTATGTGTACTTTTTATATAAATGGAAATGACTGCTACCTTGAAGAATCAATGAAAAGGTGAAATGAACTCAACGTGGAGCAGGAGGGGACCTGACCTGACAGTGTCCCTACTCCATCAATGCTCAGGGATGGGCACTTCCACAGAAGGCTTCATACTCTGGTCATCCACAACTTCTTCCCTAAAAGCTTTCTCTGGTGTAGGAACATGGTCAGCCAGTGCACACAGCAGATGAGAAGTGGCCCCTCAAGTGGCCTCACCCCATAAGGGATGGAAATGGATGGGTAATGAACCCCAAGTCATCACTCTGCTGATGAGACAACTCTGAGACCTGTCTTACAACGTCTCCCAAAAGTCCCAGGTGAGATGAAGCTTAAGGTGTCCACAGCAGTCACCTGCTCAGAAACATCCCCTGTATTTTCTTCCCCTCTTTCCCTCCCTACTCTATTTCTCCTCTCCACTCCTCTCTTGATGCTTCCAGGAGTCACATCACAAGTAAACTACTTGCACTCAATTCTTTGTATCAGGGTCTGTTCTGGCAAAAACCCAAACTAAAATATTCCCAGAAATCATGATTTATTAAATCTCTGGTGATTAGGGGGCACCTGGGTGGCTCAATGGGTTAAAGCCTCTGCCTTTGGCTTAGGTCATGATCTCAGGGTCCTGGGATCGAGCCCGGCATCAGGCTCTCTGCTCAGCGGGAAGCCTGCTTCCTCCTTTCTCTCTCTGCCTGCCTCTCTGCCTACTTGTGATCTCTGTGTGTCAAATAAATAAATAAAATCTTTAAAAAATAAATAAACAAAACTTCTAGACGATGTGACAAGTGAGTACCTTTTTACCTTGGGGTTCGGAACGATTTCTTCAAGGCATGCAAAAGCCACTAACTTAAAAGCAAGTTTCTTCACCTTGCACTACTGACATTTT